CATGTTTATTATTCCCTTTATATTCGACGAGAAGCCAGACGGTACCTTAATACTGAGCAGGCATTCAAAGAAGATTTCCTTCTCTTCTTTGGTAAGAGTGTAGCTTGCATGACCCTGATATATGCCATCTTTTTCGTGCATACTTTGCTGGTCCTCCCGTGCCTCAGGTGTATCTTTTGTCTTCCCATACACGTCCAAGAAGCCAAGCAGGGTCACACAAAGATCCTTCGTCACGTGCATCACGTCGATTGCGGAGCGGACCTCTAGGTCTTTTCAATAGGGCAGGTCCCAAAATATAGGTTTCTTCTTCCACATGGGTGCGCGTCCGTCAGCGTCATTCGGAACAGGTTGTCCACCAGGACCCTTTCCAAAGACCACCTTCAAATCCTTGACCATATCATGTACATCAACACCAATACGGTGGCGAGACTTCGTCCGGTGATCCGCCTCACCTTTGAAATGCTTGCCTTTCTTTCTTACGGGATGCCTGCTCAGAAGAAATCGACGATGTCCCAGGTACACATTCTTCTTACAATTAGCCAAATATATACTGTCGGTATCGTCCAAACAGTGCATGCATGCGTTGTATCCCTTGTTTGTCTGTCCTGAAAGGTTACTGAGAGCAGGCCAATCATTGATGGTCACGAACAACAACGCCTTTAGGTCAAATTCTTCCCCCATGTGCTCATCCCACGCACGTACACCTGTTCCATTTCACAGTTGTAAGAGTTCTTCAACTAATGGCCTTAGGTACACATCAATGTCGTTGCCGGGTTGCTTAGGGCCTTGGATGAGCACTGGCATCATAATGAACTTCCGCTTCATGCACAACCAAGGAGGAAGGTTATACAAACATAGAGTCACAGGCCAGGTGCTATGGTTGCTGCTCTGCTCCCCAAAAGGATTAATGCCATCTGCGCTTAGACCAAACCATACGTTCCTTGCGTCATCTGCAAACTCCTTCCCGTATTTTCTTTCGATTTTTCTCCACCCATTAGTGGGTACTCTCAACTTTCCGTCTTTCTTACGGTCCTCTCTGTGCCATCGCATCGCCTTGGCATGCTCTTTGTTTTGGAACAAATGTTTCAACCGTGGTATTATAGGAGCATACCACATCACCTTGGCAGGAATCTTCTTCCTGGGGCGCTCGCCCTCGACATCACCAGGATCATCGCGGCTGATCTTATAGCGCAATGCACCGCATACTGGGCAAGCGTTCAAATCCTCGTACTCACCGCAGTAGAGGATGCAAACATTAGGGCATGCATGTATCTTCTGCACCTCTAACCCTAGAGGGCAGACAACCTTCTTTTCTTCGTACGTACTCTCGGGCAATTCGTTGTCCTTTGGAAGCATATTCTTTATCATTACCAGCAACTTTCCAAATCCCTTGTCAGATACACCATTCTCTGCCTTCCATCGTAGCAATTCTAGTGTGGTGCCCAGCTTTTTCTTGTCACCTACGCAATTCGTGTACAACAATTTTTTATGATCCTCTAACATGCACTGCAACTTCTTTTTCTCCAAATCACTTGCACAGTTTCTCTTTGCATCGGCAATGGCCCGACCTAGATCATCAACGGGCTCGTCCGATGCCTCTTCTTCAGGTTCTTCCCGCATTGCCGGCTCAGCTTCTTCCCGCATTACCAGCTCAGCTTCTTCCCTCATTGTTGTATCATCGTATTCAGGAAACCCATGGCCAGGATAGCTGTCGTCGTCCTCTTCTTCTTCATTGTCTTCCATCATAACCCCTCTTTCTCCATACTTGGTCCAAACATTATAGTGGGGCATGAAACCGGACTCAAACAGATGGGCGTGAATGGTTCTTGACGTAGAGTAATTGTGACCATTCTTACAGCCAGCACATGGACAAGGCATAAAACCATCCGCCCGCTTGTTTGCCTCAGCCGCAAGCAGAAAAGTATGCACGCCATTAATGAACTCGGGAGAGCATCGGTCATCGTACATCCATTGCCGGCTCATCTTCAATACACAGCACCAAAAACACCAAATTAATACAATACATAAAGATCATACAACACTTAAATGCAACAAACAAATAACTCTCTAGCTAAAGAATTTAAATGCAACAACAAATGCGATCAAGATCGCAACTAAGGTAACAATTGATCCAACAACATAATGATACCAAGCCTCACTATGAATGGCATATTTTCTAATCTTTCTAATCTTCAAGCGCATTTTCTCCATCTTAATCTTGTGATCATCGACGACATCGACAACATGCAACTCCAATTCCATCTTCTCCCCCTAGATTCTTTTCAATTTTTCCTTCAATCCTCGTTTTCTCTTTCAACTAAATTTAACCTCTCGACAATAGGGTCGGTTGGAATTTCCGGTTCAACTACCTCCTACATACAAATATCTATGTCAACTTGATGGGCATAATTTGTCATAAACACGAAATGCAATGAATAGTTTTAAAAGAGAATATATCACATCCGAATCATAACCCGGACGAGGGCCGACGGGGATGGATATCAAAACCATGGCACTATGTATAACAAACAACGTATGGGTAAGATAATTATACGAGTAACTATATATCCAAATCACACAAACATCAATTTTTTTATATAAAACTTCATGAACAAGAGGCTCACCACAAGCTGGTGCCGGCGACGGGACGTTGCAAGCGATCGACGGTGGTTACAACGGAGATTTAGAAGGTACTAAGTAAACCACACCTACATATGCAAACTAAGTGTTATTTTTGACCTCAGATTGCATATAAATCAAATACTAGCACATACATATAATTCCTCCCAAATTACTAAACTCAAAAATCAATCACTATATAAAGCATTGCATGAGCTAATCTAGCAATGAGAGATGAAAAGACAAATTTGCTAACCTTTGTGATCATTTGAATGGATGGGGGCCTTCAAATCTTGACAAATTTTGGGAAAAATGTGTGATGAGCTTGAGAGGAAGAGGAAAAAGAACATAGAGGAGAGGGGAAAGGGGAAGAACAGAGCGAGCTCGGGTGGACGAAGGGTCTATGTAGGACGACCTTTAGTACCGGTTCATGATACAACCCGGTACTAAAGGTGTTGGAGGGGCCCCGGACTGACAACATCCTGCCACCACTCACTTTAGTACCGGTTTGTGGCACGAACCGGTGCTAAAGGTTCGCCACGAACCGGTGCTAATGAGAGCGGCCGACTAGCCGTTGGAACCGGCACTAATGCACACATTAGTGCCGGCTCAAATTCAAACCGGCACTAATGTGCTTCACGTTTGACCCTTTTTCCACTAGTGTTACAATGTAATTTAAGACTCACTTAGAATGCACAAATGCATGTTGCATAATAGAGAATTGTCATGAGTAGATTGAATGGATGTTAGTGAATTGATCTAAATTTAACGACTACAAAAACACACATGTTGAGATAATTAGAAGTGGTGAAGCTCACTCTCTTAGATATATAGAATGTGAGCAAACCAGAGAAAATGATGGATGTTGCATCCTACACTTCTATTATTGACTTTTCTGTAAAAATGTACTACAAGAGACACAAGATTTTTTTGCGGGGGACACATGAAGACCACGATTGATCTAATCCGCCGTCAGAGGAGTGTGTGTTTGGATTTTTTTTTTGACAAAAAGACTGTAAGGGAACCCCATACAGTATAATTGATGCAACAAACTCAAATTGCAAGTATCATGCCTTGAACCTGAATGGGTGGAAATGCATCAGCCCCTTGTTTTAGTCTGCAGTGTGTGTGTTTGGATTGCCACAAAAGTCTACCACTTTTTGTCGTGCTAAAAATTCAGGGCCTTGTTTGGATGATTGCCAACTTTCTGATATGTCAATGTTCATTTCGCAACTCCAGTTCATATTTCTAGCCAATGCGATTCACTCACGTGCAAGCAAAATCTTGACCAAAATATTCGCTGGGAGAACTAAAACCATGACAAAAATTATGAAACAAAGTGAGTAGTTTTTTCAATAACCCGATCATGGGCACAAACCAAAAGCACCCCTAAAAAACAGATTTGTTGACTCCGGGTGGTCACCGAATGACTCGGTAAAATCCCATGAAAATACTGTGTATTAACTTTCAAACCACCGGCTTTAATTTGTTATGCTATGATGATGCTAGTACATATTGAACATAACTGTTAGTATTAAGCATCGTTAGAGCATCTTCAACAGAGTAAAAACATTGTTGTGTCTAAAATATTGCTTTTTAAGGCAGTTTGGTCCCAAAACGATGCTCCTACAGATGATGTATCTGCATGCAGTGGTGTCAATTTTTTCCACACCCAAAAAATCACCTACCTTTGCTGCTTTTTGCAGCACCTCCACGGGATGTGATTTTCTTGTGGGTTTGCAAGCAAGAAGAACACGGTGAGATTAGGAGTAACTCGTAGGTAGACGTTCAGGATTACTTATTGATAAACTAATTGCGACCCTCTTAGTGTAGGATTATCTTATCTTCTTCTAGTACCCATAACACTAGTTAGGTTACATCGGTTAGATGCTTGCTGCAACCTCATGACGTAACCATTTCCTATACATATGTGATGTTAGTTTTACTATCCCTGGTAATGTTATTGTTGAGTCTCAGTGACTCAACAGATACCGCAACAACCGGTAAAGCTTTGCTCTAAGGCGAGATCATGGAACGATCTACGTGGAGTTATTCTATGGATCGAGAGGCGTCTGAAGTAAAAAACTATACTCCTCTAAATCTTCTGTGGATCGGTTAGATGTGGCTTAGAGGAGAAAAACATAATTTTCACTCCTCTAAAGCACCATATAAGGGATCGGTTAGAGAACACATGGAACTAGGTCGATGGGACGAATAACACGCGAGCGCTCAGACTGTCAAAGGCTAGACTTCCATCATACGTACCACATTTACACGCTGTTCGTACATACATACACATACTCTGCAGTAGAATCAGAATTAACGGGTGCCACTGACTGAACCACTACGCCAGGAGATCCCCCGATCGAACGACGAAATTATCACGCGGCACGATTCGCCGTCCTCCGATCCAGCGGCTTCTGCAGAAGAAGCTGCGCCACGGAGCGATCCATGGCGCTCCTCTCGGTCTCCGCCCACACGCTCGATGTGCTGAGCCTGCCACCAGAAATTCATCACGGTCAGCACCTGGATCGGGTGACCAACCAGAGGGCCAACGCTTCCAATCGTAGCAACAGAGGAGGATGGTGTTATCAGAAGACAAAGTTTCAGAAGCTGACATGCATGTCATGTCGTGGCATGCACTTGCCTGTTTGCAGCCGAGGAGCCCACGTTCTGTTCCACTGCCTGATGCCTCTGCTCCACGCTGTAGGCCAGCCGGTACAGGGCGTCTCTGATGCACGCCTTGGTTCCCACGTCCAACTGCAAAACCGCATTTTATTACAAAGATGAACTCGGTCAGTACATGTACGTGGAGACTATAATTATTTATCACATATTCACATGAACAAGGCTATATGCAAGACGGTGTTAGAGTGAATCTCGGTGACCTGATTCATGCCTTCCTGAAGCTTCTGGAACCCGAGATGCCTCACCGGCACCGGCGCCGCTTCCGGAACAGACGATGGCCGAGCGTTCTCACGCACCCCGCCCGAGCTCCTCCTCCCATTGGAGCCAGAGTGCATGGCTGCACCGTTCAGAGCACCGTCGCCGGCGAGCGTCGAGGCGGTGCCACTCATCGGCACCTGAGGCTGCTCGCACGTGGCCAGCGGAGGGAAGTACATCTCGAGCGGGTTCCCGGCCATCTCGTCCAGGATCATGTCCGGAGTCGCACGCGGCTGACTATTCTTCGTCGAAACGTACGCCGAGACGAGGTCGTCTGCCCCGGAGCGAGCAGCGGAGGAAGACATGATGCTCTCGTCGTTGCACATGATGCTGGAGCGAGCAGCGGAGGAAGACATGATGATCTCGTCGTTGCACATGACGCTGGACGATGTTGGGACGAGCATGTCATGGAAGTCGAAGGGGCAGAGGAGGTCGGCGTCTGACAGCCCTGGGAAATGCTCGATCTCCACGGAGGAGGAAGACGAGTTCAGTGGCGTGTCCTTTCCTTTCTTCCAGGATAGCTGCTGCACAAGGCGAAGAGAGAATTTAGCATGATTCCTGGATGGGACGGAACCAAGAAGTGTCTTGTCAGAAATAATGAACCAAGACTCAGCGGTTGTAAATCCTCTGCATCATCCAACCTTCAAATTTCGGGGAAAACAATCAGCAAGATAAGAGTTCGAAGTACCTGATCGTTCGCAACATTGGACGGATGGGGGTTGTCAGAGTGGCTGCTCGGCACGAGCTGAACGTCCGGCGAGCAAATGGAGGACCACATCGGGTGATCAAAGTAATCGATCCCTAACTCAAACGCCGAATCGAGTTTTCTTCAGATCAGACGAGGAAACAAGAAAGGACTTCAGAGAAGAAGTAACGCATACTGTACAGTACGAACAACCACTTGCACAAGGCAAGAATTAAAGGGTAATTACTACTATTATTGGTACGTACCTCAGGTCTGTGTCGAGATCCTCCAAGTCATCCAGCTCAGGCCAGTCGAAGAGGAGAAGATCACTCTCCTTGCTCTTGTGCTGATCGTCCTGCGCTCGCACAGTATGGCCCCATTCCGGCGAGCAGATCATGTCTGAAACGTTGTGGATTCCAGCGTATCCGTCGGGGGAGAAGAGTTTTGCCTCTGCACCTGCACGCATTTGAAGTGTGATCATCATAAAACCTTACCTAAACGTACCAGTAGATCATCATAAAGCACGGGCTTGTGATCTATCACGAGGAAATGCACAAGGAGGGTCGAAAGGATGGCATACTCATCGGGAGGAGAGCAGCGTCGTTCTTCCAAATTGCTTGTGCACATGAATTCCTCGTTTGGCGTGGTGATTCGTTGGCGCCACCACCCTGTACGGCTCTTGGATTTGCCGAGAACACGGCCCGATGGCCTGGGTAGATCTTGGATTCGTCGCGGCCATGGCCATGGAGCAGCATGGCGTGGTCGTTGCTTGGCGCAAAATCGCTCATGACAAAGTGAGCGGCCTGAAAAAAGAAGCGACCGGCCCGGCTTAATTAGACGAAGCTCAACAAGAGGATTGGACGAAGCAGACACGTGCGTACCTCGTCGCGAGGCTGGGAGCCCCGCCTCCTCCCCGCCGGCGCACGCATCGTCGATCCGAGCCGCACGGCCAACCGAGGGAGCACACGGCGAAGCTAGCGGAGCAGATCAAGCGCGTATGGCAGAAGCGATGGTGGCGGCTATTAGGTACGTAAGCGGGCAGGAGCAGCGGCGTCTCCTCCTCCTCCTAGCTTATATCGTGCCGCGCCCAACGCTAGGACCCTGTGGAGCTAGCTCTGCTCGGCCGAGTTGTTGGCAGGAAGCAACGCAGAGCGGGAGCCACGCAGCGGCCCCAACGTACTTGCGATGCTTAGCCGTCCCGTCCCGTCCCGTCCCGTCCGGCGAAAGGAGTTAGGCGCGCGTCAGAGGGTCGCTTACTTTCCCGGTGAGTATGGGTACGTCGACGCTTAGCTACGGCCACGCACGCACGCACGCACGCCCGCCCTCGATCCATCCATCGGCCGGCCTAACCAATGCCGGAAACGGAAGGGGCGGGCGCCTCTTTCCCGGCGCGGCAACGGCGACAGCGACCCGGGCGCCCCGGGCTAGGGCTCGACGTACGTGCCGTTAAGCTACGCGCCCGACGCTTCCTCGCCTTGCACGGCAGCGGCACAGGCAGCAGCGCGCGGCCAGCTGCCCGCCTTTCACCAGAAGGGCGGCCGGCGGCAACGTGAGCGCGCGCGCTCGATCGGGCCGCGAGAGCGAGACGGAGACGCGTCGATCGACGACGCGTCGGGGCGGGGCGCGTGCGTGTCGGCCGGGTATTGCGGGACGCCATGGTCACTCTTGGCCCGGGATGCTAAGTTCGGCCGGCCCTTTTTGCGTCGCCGTGATTGACAACTCGGTCGAGCGGGCCGGCGGGCGAGCGATCGGGGTTGGCTGGCTAGCGACGTCGACGTCGGTCTGTTGTGTGTGCCTGTGCGGCTGTGCTCGCTTGTCTTGTGTAATCTGCATGACAATGGCGTGGTGGGGCGGGGTGACATGACTCGTGGGAACATGCTGCGACGTACCAGCTGACAGCTATGGACGGCCGCTCTGCTCGCGCGCGGTGACTGGTCGGGCGGACGGACGGACGGACGGGACGCGTGCGTGCGTCGGTTCGGTTACTTCTGAACAGCGACCGCCCTGCAGGGCTCGCGTGCTGATTGTGCTCTACTACTAGAGCTTCTGCAAAGTAGCGTGAACGCGAAGACTCGGCCTGCCGTCGGCCCTGCTGTGCGTGCGCTGGTAATGCCGGTCGCATCGAACCATGTGTATATTGGCAGTGACGTGGAAACGATGACGTACGCGCGTACTTGTTCCAAATCATTTGCAAAATATGTATCGTGGCCGGTTGAAGCGTGGCGGAAATGCTCCGACCAAGGCGTGCGGTGTAGGTGTTGAATCTGATGCAGGCCAGTCACGCGCGCTGCTGCTGTGTACCGTGCACGTTTCAGACGGGATCACCGTACCGTGAAGTCTGAAATAAACCTTATGGTTATAGACGCCGTCCCAAATTAACCCCCATGTCTAAATCCCGGAAGTCCGTACCCCAACCTCTCTTATCCCGGTCGTTTTGAGGCTTCCGTGCGTATCCAAACGTCGGGATTCGTACATGGCGCAGGAAAGAGTGGGAACTGGCTGAGTCAGCTTCTGTAGGTGGGGTCTCATGCTAAAACCTGGTCGAGCCGGACCAAGTCGCTCGCTCTCCCTCGTCTTCCACTTGCCTCTTCCTCTCCCGTGACGCCTCGGTTCCTCCTCCTCCACAACGGCGACGACGACGAGCGGATGATCGCGGCGGCCGGCGACAACCACACCGACAGAAAGAAGCAAGGTACGCCCGGTCTATCTTCCCTCTGTATTTACAGGTTTTTTCTTCCTTTCTGAATCGGTTAGGTTTAGGGTTTTTGAAGGGTGAAGCCATGAAAATTTGGGGCCCTAATCGGTCGATTTGCTGGTGATTTATGTTGTCAAGTGTAGTAATCATTTTGCCCATCTTGCAATGTAGGTTCTTTCTGTTGAATCCATGGACCCGGCTGAGATTTTGAATGTCAAATTTCATATAGGGGGGCAATTTGTTCATATTGGTCCTTTTCTAGACTATGTTGGGGGAGATGTGGCCTACTCTCATATTGAAAGGGACAAGCTTTCCTTGCCAAAGGTGAATGGATTTGTTGCAGATCATATGGCAGTTAAGGAAAGCATGAAATTTTTCTTTCTTATGCCTGGCAGAGAGTTGGTTAATGGGCTCATGTTTCTGTATGATGATGCTGGGTGCATGAGAATGTCAGATCATACAACTGATGGAGGAGTTGCAGATATTTATGTGGAGTACAATGGGGAAGAGGATGAAGAATTAGAGGAGGGCAGTGCAAGTGGGTCTGATTTTGATGATGAAATTAAGGATCACATGGAGAGTGGAAGTGAAGAAGATATGCCTATTATCATGAGTGTTGAAGAAGTGCAATTGGAACATGTGGATGGAGAAGAAGAAATATTTGAGCAAGTGTTTGTCCCCAATGACACTGGTGTTATTACTGCAGTCATAAGCAGCCCAATGAAGAGGATTTCTCAGAGTTCACAAGTGATCAATCCTTCTCAGAGTTCACAAGTGATCAATCCTTCCCAGCCTTCAACACATATTGCACTAGCAGTGCAAGCAATGAAGGAAATATGCCCTAGAGGCAATAATAAAGTTATTATTTATTTCCTTATATCATGATAAATGTTTATTATTCATGCTAGAATTGTATTAACCGGAAACATAATACTTGTGTGAATACATAGACAAACAGAGTGTCACTAGTATGCCTCTACTTGACTAGCTCGTTGATCAAAGATGGTTATGTTTCCTAGCCATTGACATGAGTTGTCATTTGATTAACGGGATCACATCATTAGGAGAATGATGTGATTGACTTGACCCATTCCGTTAGCTTAGCACTCGATCGTTTAGTATGTTGCTATTGCTTTCTTCATGACTTATACATGTTCCTATGACTATGGGATTATGCAACTCCCGTTTACCGCAGGAACACTTTGTGTGCTACCAAACATCACAACCTAACTAGGTGATTATAAAGGTGCTCTACAGGTGTCTCCGCAGGTACTTGTTGGGTTGGCGTATTTCGAGATTAGGATTTGTCACTCCGATTATCGGAGAGGTATCTCTGGGCCCACTCGGTAATGCACATCACTTAAGCATTGCAAGCATTGCAACTAATGAGTTAGTTGCGGGATGATGTTTTACGGAACGAGTAAAGAGACTTGCCGGTAACGAGATTGAACTAGGTATTGAGATACCGACGATCGAATCTCGGGCAAGTAACATACCGATGACAAAGGGAACAACGTATGTTGTTATGCGGTTTGACCGATAAAGATCTTCGTAGAATATGTGCGAGCCAATATGAGCATCCAGGTTCCGCTATTGGTTATTGACCAGAGACGTGTCTCGGTCATGTCTACATAGTTCTCGAACCCGTAGGGTCTGCACGCTTAACGTTTCGATGACAGTTATATTATAAGTTTATATGTTTTGATGTACCGAAGGTTGTTCGGAGTCCCGGATATGATCACGAACATGACGAGGAGTCTCGAAATGGTCGATACATGAAGATTGATATATTGGAAGCCTATATTTGGATATCGGAAGTGTTCCGGGTGAAATCAGGATTTTACCGGAGTACCGGAAGGGTTACCGGAACCCCCCGGGGGTTAAGGGCCATAGTGGGCCTTAGTGGAGAAGAGGAGAGGCGGCCAGGGCAAGGGCCGCGCGCCCTTCCCTCCTAGTCCAAATAGGACAAGCAGAGGGGGCGGCGCCCCCCTTTTCTTCTTCTCCTCCACCTCTTTCCCCTCTTCTCCTAATCCAACAAGGAAAACGGAGGGAGTCCTACTCCCGGTGGGAATAGGACTCCTCCTAGCGCGCCCCTCCTGGCCGGCCGCACCTCCCCCTTGCTCCTTTATATACGAGGGCAGGGGGCACCCTAGAGACACAACAATTGATCGTTTGATCTTTTAGCCATGTGCGGTGCCCCCCTCCACCATAGTCCACCTCGATAATACTGTAGCGGTGCTTAGGCGAAGCTATGCGTCGGTAGAACATCATCATCATCACCACGCCGCTGTGCTGACGAAACTCTCCCTCAACACTCGGCTGGATCGGAGCTCGAGGGACGTCATCGGGCTGAACATGTGCTGAACTCGGAGGTGCCGTGCGTTCGGTACTTGATCGGTCGGACCGTGAAGACGTACGACTACATCAACCGCGTTTTGCTAACACTTCCGCTTTCGGTCTACGAGGGTACGTGGACAATACTCTCCCCTCTCGTTGCTATGTATCACCATGATCTTGCGTGTGCGTAGGAATTTTTTTGAAATTACTACGTTCCCCAACAGTGGCATCCGAGCCAGGTTTTATGCGTTGATGTTATATGCATGAGTAGAACACAAGTGTGTTGTGGGCGATATAAGTCATACTACTTACCATCATGTCATACTTTGGTTTGGCGGTATTGTTGGATGAAGCGGCCCAGACCAACATTACGCGTACGCTTACGCGAGACTGGTTCTACCGACGTGCTTTACACACAGGTGGCTGGCGGGTGTCAGTTTCTCCAACTTTAGTTGAACTGAGTGTGGCTACGCCCGGTCCTTGCGAAGGTTAAAACAACATCAACTTGACAAACTATCGTTGTGGTTCTTGATGCGTAGGTAAGAACGGTTCTTGCTAAGCCCGTGGCAGCCACGTAAAACTTGCAACAACAAAGTAGAGGACGTCTAACTTGTTTCTGCAGGGCATGTTGTGATGTGATATGGTCAAGACATGATGCTAAATTTTACTGTATGAGATGATCATGTTTTGTAACCGAGTTATCAGCAACTGGCAATAGCCATATGGTTGTTGCTTTATTGTATGCAATGCAATCGCCCTGTAATGCTTTACTTTATCACTAAGCGGTAGTGATAGTCGTAGAAGCATAAGATTGGCGAGACGACAACGATGCTACGATGGAGATCAAGGTGTCGCGCCGGTGACGATGGTGATCATGACGGTGCTTCGAAGATGGAG